ATGTGAAGGGTTCCTGTCATATCTCTTCATAAAACCCCTCTCTCTTCATAAAACCAATCTTTTTAATTAAATCTCATTTTGCGTGCCAAGCTGGAAATCCATAAACAAACACGAGTTTACAACTTTTCACACATAGCAAGAAGAGAAGGATTTTTTTTATATAGAAAAATAGGCTCGTGTACTTGCAACGCAATATAATTAATGTGTTAAGGCTTTTTTTAAAAACGAGCAATTACAGTTAACTAAAAAAATAGAATTCATTTTTAATCACATATGCACAGCGCTACAAAATTCATCAAACGTTTCGACTTACAAAGTCAAACGAAATTACATATAATTACATGTAATAATAAAATAGTCGCTCAAATTTTACATACTCATTTCTGCGTTAGAATATTAAAAATCGAAATAGGTGTTCAGTCAGAAGTTTGGAAGTCCAAATTGTAAAAGTGTGTTTTAGTAATTCATCGGTTGTTATCGAGAATCCAGCCCAGTCAATAATTTTACAAAAAACACGACAATCCAATTGAGGATTTCTTCAACGACTATCCTACTATATTCTGTATAATTTAAGTTTTTTTTTATGGCTGTGGCAGATTAAAGCCCTAAACATAATGTGAGACAACAGCGATAGCAATAGCAATAGCAACAGAGGATTCTGACATTCGGGAATACATGCATATATCAATGTACATAAGAACACCATGGTGGAAGTACACTACTTCCACTGTGTAGGAACACAGAGTAAAGCGATAAATAAGATAGCAATAGCGATAAATTTCCGATGAGTTGGAATTCTATGTTTATCTACCTTATAGCCTACCAATCAGCGTTCAGATTTTTCATTCTGTTTATATGCGTTATATCGGTCATATAATAATCGGTCAAAGTAGATATTATGAATACAATATATATTCTTAATTTTAAATTTAATTGTAGAATATACTATAGTCTATATATGAGATCAGATTGATTGGCATTTTTATTTCTTTTGCAACAATGGGAGGCGACAATTATATATCGCTTATTTCTATGCTATTTCTACAGCTATTCTTGCCTCACGTTGTGTCTAAAGCTTAACTTCTAATCTGAATAGTCGTCAACTTTAATAATTAATATCTTGGTTTGCAGGATAGAACCTTCCTTTTCTGCTAGATTCTTTCGTTTTATGCAAAAACACACCGATTAAGTCTAATTTCATTGATTTTTGTGACTAAGCTCATCTTCTTTATAATTACCATAATCTTAAAAACAAATACTCAATATGCATTTATACAATTAACAATAGTTTTTTTTATCTTATTTGTTCTTATGTGAAATTAGATATTGGCCAACAATTAAAATGACAGAGGCAATAATGGATAATTCTGGTAGACTTATGAAGATGGAGGTGGATTATAGCAATACTTGCGATATAAAAATTCCAGAATGCAAAAAACTAGCTTCTGAAGGAAAGCTGCATGATGCCTTGGATCAATTGTTAGCTTTAGAAAAACTTACCAGAACTGTTAAGTATACATTAATACTGTAAAATGAGAAATATTTACACACGCGTATGTATGTGTGTATCAAGAGACATAGGGTGCACTTAAAGTTTGCAAGGATCCAGTGTATTATTTTATTCTTATTTAATATTTGATGACGAGAAGGATGAAATGATACTCGAGAGCATTGTGAACATTAAGTGGGGCGCACCCATGGTCATATTTAATATATATGTCACAGTTAAAGTGTTAATTCAATAAATGTATATACTTGTAGTCAGTGTGTACACATACTAATTTGATAAGTAAATGTATTCACACAAGCAATAAAATTTAAACTTTTACTATAGTGCATACATTTTCATATATAATTCAATAAAAGCGTGAACAAGCAAAAATATATCAATTTAAAAATGCATCAATTTAAAGTAGTTTAAATTTCATTGCTTGTGTGAATACATTTACTTATTGCATTTTGCTAATAAATGTGGCTACAAGCACATACATTTTATGTATTAAATCTCTGCGTTACTAAATGAATGAGTTTACAATATACTAAACAATAATAAAAACTAAAAAGATTAGATAAATTCTTATATACAATGGCCCTAAATGTTTTGGCCAGGTTGTGAGATTTTACAGAAAATTTAATTTTGAACAAAAATTTCTTATAAACATGGGTTGAAAAATGGTTCCTTAAAAAGTCAGCGCCCAAAAACCTCAGAAATCACGATTATTTTATACATTTTTACAAATATTAGGTAAAATATGCGTTTTTTTTATCAAAAAGTATCAATACGAAATTGTAAAAAATTCAATTATCTTTTTAACGAGATCAAAATGATTGTAATATGCTCCATAGGTTTTGATATAACCAGTTTTAAATGTATAAAAGTGTTTTTTTCATTATTTTCTCCATTATTAAAACTAATCATCATAGAAGAATGAAAGAAAGAGTAGAATGTGAAAAGAAAATGAAACTATTTCTTGGACAAAAATCAGAGTATCTTTAAAAAAGCTCTACTGTTGATAGCTGAAAAAAAACTTTTTGAAACTGGTTATCACAAACTCTATGGAACGTACTACAATCATTTTGATCTCATTTGAAAGATAATTTAATTCTCTGCAACTTTCGATACTTTTGGTTAAAAAACGTTTTCCCTGATAGAAAAAATCGATGAAATTATATTCAGCGCATTTTATTCAACGCATTTTTATCCAAAATGAACAAATCTGGCAGAAAAAAACATTGCTCTGCCTCCACGAACCAAAACATTAACCGTAGTAGTTTATCACTTTTGAGGTGACAAAATCTATCACATCAGTGTGTAATGGAGTCCTTCTAACATTTATTAGAATAATCACTTTTAATTATAAAACATTGAGAATATTAAAGTGCACTGTGATTAAAAAAAGAATATGAAGAAATAATATTCTCGAGGCTTCCACGGGTGCTTTCTATATAAAGATAATGCGTTTCGCGGGTTTTCTCCGTGTCCAGATCCATTCTTGGTATGCCAACGTTTCGTGAACCTTGTAGTCCACTTCATCAGGGCGAGAAGCAGCCTGATACTTGCTATTGAGTATCAGGCTGCTCCTCGCCCTGATGAAGTGGACTACAAGGGTCACGAAACGTTGGCATACCAAGAATGAATCTGGACACGGAGAAAATCCGCGAAACGTGGAAGCCTCAAGAATATTATTTATTCATATTCTTTTTTTAATCATAGTGCACTTTAATATTCTCAGTGTTTTACAATTAAAAGTGATTATTCTAATAAGTGTTAGAAGGACTCCATTACACATTGATGTGACAGATTTTGTCACCTCAAAAGTGATAAACTTCTACGGTTAATGTTTTGGTTCGTAGAGGCAGAGCAATGTTTTTTTCTGCCAGATTTGTTCATTTTGGATAAAAATGCGTCGAATAAAATACGTTGAATATATAATTTCATCGATTTTTTAGCTGACATGGCTAAAGAAAACAATTATTGTATGCAATTATTAAAATGTATACTTTTACTGTGATAATTGATGACTTCTAATACGTTTTTACTAATGTGTTGTAGTAAGTGTATTATCATCTAGTAAATAAATATGTTTATACCAATAGCAGACATTTTTACATTCAATTAATACTTTTGTCAAAACCTTACGTAATTGTATACATTGACTAAGAAGTATATACGTTTACGAAATTTTATGCTTTGACTGTGACATATACACATTTAGAGAAATTATTTTTAAACTTTTATGTAGGTTGCCGATATGGCATCAACGTCCAGACTTCTTGTAGCCATAGTTGAAATTTGTTTGGAGGCAAAAAATTGGTCAGCGCTTAATGAACACATAATTTTATTATCAAAACGGCGCTCTCAACTTAAACAAGCTGTAACGAAGATGGTTCAAGAATGTTGTACTTATATAGACAAAATGCCTAATAAAGAAACCATGGTAAAACTAATAGAAACTCTTCGTTTGGTTACAGAAGGGAAGGTAAATACAGTTTCAATTAATAATATATACTATACGTCAAAAGGATTTAAGCCCATATCAGTTTTCTGACTGACCGTTTTCCAGAGATTTAATGTATTAATGTATAAGAATTGAGTATAATATTGTATCTCAAATATATATTTTTATTATAATCTGAAAACTTTAATATGTTCCTCGAAATATAGGGCATGTAAAAAGTTTTCGGAACATTTCACAGTCGAATGCCGAATTTTTCAAAATGTTCCTATTGAATTCGTAGTTTTATTCATTTGATCACAAAAGTTATTGTATGAATTTTCGAATTGTCAACTTTTACTACAATTTTGTTGATTATTTAAGGAATTTTTTTTGGAAAATTTTATCTCTTTAAACATTCAGGTTGTAAAGTAATAACGATTTATGTGTCGATCCGATTATGTAGCGCGCAATGCGAAGTTCGAGCTATTTGTCTCCGTGAAACGGAGGCATCAATAATATATCGAAACGTAATATTCTTACGGACTCCCAAAATCTTTTTCAACTTCCTAATTATTTACGATTATAAAATAAGAATTAGAGTGTCTTGTCAATAAAAAAGTTGTCAATTAAAATTGATCACAATAGCATATTTCTAATGCATTAGCGAATATAAACATATTCCTTTCCGTTATATGCAATGGAATACTATTCTACGAAATGTAAATACGCAAAAAACAGAGTACATTTTTTTATATAATAGCAAATATTCATTATTTTATTTATTAATTTAATTCAAACACATTGTTCAACAAGAACGAAATCATAAAATATTTACATTAAACAAGAAATTTTTTTTGCAAAAGATATATGTAGAAGTAGAAAGAGCAAGGCTTACTCACCGTTTAGCCGAAATAAAAGAAGCGGAAGGAGACATTGCAGGTGCTGCAACTGTAATGCTTGAATTACAGGTATTTATGTTTATAATAGACACACTACTCTAATAAAACTTAATTATAAAGATTACTAAATAACGTATCGTATAGGTAGAAACATATGGCAGTATGTCACGTCGGGAGAAAGCTTCCCTTATCTTAGAACAAATGAGACTTTGTTTGGCAAAACAAGATTTTATGAGAACTCAAATCATAGCAAAGAAAATTAATGTTAAGTTCTTTAGTGATGAGAATGACGAAGAAACTCAGACATTGAAATTAAAATATTACGAGTATGTACACCATATTTTGTACCCATATTTATCATACAAAAGTTATACAAATAAATTACATTTTGTATTTAGCTTAATGATGGAATTGGCACGTCATGAGGGTTGGCATTTGGAATTGTGTCGACATAACCGAGCAGTACTAGAAACTCCCACTATTCGTGACGATCCAGAGAAAAGACGTATTGCGCTTTCTCGGGCAGTCCTTTATCTTGTACTTGCACCACACGAGCCTGAACAGGCTGATCTAACGCACAGATTACTCGCTGATAAACTTCTCGATGAGATTCCCACTTACAAGTAATGATTACAATTACTTTGAAATATTTAAAATATTTATTTCTCATTCTTCTCTCTCGAAAGTAACATGAACTACAACCATTCACAGAGAATTATTACGCTTATTTGTTAATCCTGAGTTGATAAAATGGTCAGGATTATGCGAAATTTATGAAAAAGATCTCAGATTAACTGAAGTCTTTTCTTCTTCAACTGAAGAAGGATGCAAACGATGGACAGATTTGCGGAATCGTGTTGTAGAACACGTAAGTTTATATATTATTCAGAATATATTTAAGAAAATAATGAAAAATATATATCAAGTTATATCATATAAGAGTGTCAGTCAATTGGAAATTGTGATCCATCAGTAAATCGAGATAAAGTATTCTATTCTTCAGATAGGTTAAAATTTATATAACATACTATTGTTTTCTTCAAATTTCGTTGATTATTCTTTTCAAATAGAAACGTTAATCGTTAAGTCTTTAGAGAAAAGTAAAACTGTATTGGCAAAAGAACTATTCAGTAATGGTTCAAACAATTTTATCCTAAATTTAAAAAATGAGCGTCGAGGTATATATATATAGACTTAGATTTTAATATTACTCGTTTTAATTTAATACAATTTTTTTTCTAAAAACACATTGTTATTTTGATTTCTATAAATTGCAATTTTATATGATACAATTTGATATTATACAGGATGGTTTCATTAAATTCTTTTTGTTTATATCGTGAATTTTTTGCTTATTTAGAGTTAATTTTTTTCTTTAGTAATGTAAATTGTCACTATTTTCCAAAATTATAACATAAGTAAACTCTATTCAAAATTAATTGAAGAATATAATTTTAACTATTTTCTTGTATAATTTAAATAGTTTTAAAAAAATTTCAATTTTAATTCAAAACGTACAATTTAGGTATTTTCTTTGATATTTTCTTAAATTTAAAATTAACTTGAATTGACAAAGTCATCAAGAAATCTACAACGCGTTTATTAACAATAACACACACATTTGAAATCTTTTTTAAAAAATAGAATCTATTTTTCATCTTATTCTTTTTTTATATTCATTTTTACAATATTTCCATGTTTTCCTAAGAATATTCTGAGAATATAATTTTTAAAAAGTGAAAATAAAATTATTTATAAAAGAACTTAGATGTACCTTTATTTTAACATATTTGTATATAAAATATGAAATAGTCGAATATTTCTTTGTCAATAATCTTGCTTTAATGGTTTTATGTGCAGAGAGTGTATGTAGAAAGGGAAATATTTTTATCTGTTTTTAGAATATAAGAATCATGGCCAAATATTATACTAAGATTACACTAACTCGCATGGCTGAGTTATTAGATCTTCCGACTGAAGAAACAGAAGCGTGTCTCTGTAATTTAGTAGAAACTGGAGTAATTAATGCACGTACAGATCGTCCAGCTGGTGTAGTCCGTTTTACTGGCACACAAGAACCAGCTGCTCTTTTAGATACATGGGCTGCATCATTATCGAAATTGATGGGCCTTGTGAATCATACTACACATTTAATTCATCAAGAAGAAATGTTGGCCGTTGCGCAATCTTAGAATATATGCACACATGCATGCGTGCGCATATACACCACACATCATGTTTGCATGTATCGTGTCTCTCTTATGTTATACATTTTAATTTTATTTCCATTTAAGAATAGGGTATTGTTATTAGAATTATTAACAAAATATAATCAGAGTAATATGATTTTGATTTATAAAAATGCTGTTTATATTTTTGTGTATTTGTTGTGTATAATTCACACAGCTATTATATCTATAAACACAATATTGAAAATATAATTCCTTTAGTATGGAAATTCTTTATATATGAAGATAAAATTATATTATTGTACAAATAATTTTTTCATTTATTTTAATGTACCACAATAAAAATAAAAAATTTACATATGTACACAGAGTAGTTTATTATATCCGATATATCCTATGGAATATATCCTATGGATTTCACGCATATATAGTAAAATCTGTGATCAATTTTTTGTTATAATACATTATAAGTTACAGCGTTTTCCCTTGGCTGCACTAGTTGCCCTTGGTAACTCGGACAGTGGGTGCCTTCCAACAAGCGACTCAGTACAACACAGTGATCATCTCATTCTTGTTTAACATTAGTAAACAATAAGGATGTAATGATGCAGCGTGTCACACCGTGTCATGTGTGTTTCTTTGGCCCTACACACAATAGCAGGATTAAGGAATTAGGAATAAAGAATAAACGATTTTAACCTAGTCTTTAGTCTTGAGAAGGTCACTCAAGATCAAATCCATATTTTCATCATATGTCACTCAGGGTCATAAACTTGACAATATATCAAGGTTAAGATCGTCGATGCGGTATCCCTTAAAGTGCATAACTGCCACATTTATTTTAAAGCAAAGAATTCTCGTGTTATATAGTATAAGAACCGTTTTTTGTTAATAACTTTTAAACGTAGGACGAGCACTAACTAAAATCATCTGAAGGTCACTTAGAGTCATGATCTCGACAACATATGTCAAGATCATCCGAGCTGGGTTCCCTATTATCGATATTTACCAAAGCAGGGAAAAATCAGGCAAGGTTTTCATTTGTCTATGTTTATTTTGTGAATACAAAAACTGGACATATATAATTTCATCTCACAGTAATAGTAGCAGCAACAGCAGCAGCAGCAGCAATAATAGTAATTTCACGCATTAAACAGGTAAAATCGCAATTTTAAATTATTAATTGTTTACGTGCTCTTTCGAACCGTACCTATAAACCTTTTATGCGCTTTATCATTATACCATGCCTAAAGAGAAATATCTATTGCACAAATGCGTTTCAGTTCGTTTGTCACGCGGCCACGGCGACGGAATCTCATATATATATAAAGTATTATTTTTTATTATAAAGCAAAAAATTTATATATATATATATATATGTGTGTGTGTGCGTATATATTTTTAAACAGTATCTGTACTGTGTGCTGTACAAACAAAGTGAATTTTTATATAAAGACACATACAAGAATTCTATGTTTTTAATGACGGCATAACACCTCCGCAGGTACGATTGTGTAGTTCAATATATGAAAAAATATTTTCGTAATATTTGTAAAATACTATAACTCGTCTACTTTTTATCCTCGCAAAGGTACTTCAATATCTTTGTTCGTGGATTATCGCACGAAACGATCTTGCATATTCATATTAAACAAAGTGAATTATATTGATTTTTTTATATTTTTGAACCTTTTTAGGACAGAGACATAAACATAAGTCAAAACTGTACTGTATCAAAATATGTATATGTATGTATATATAATCGTATAAAAAAGTTATTTTTACAAAGGAAAAAAAATATAATCTATGACCCGACAACAATTACAGTAAAACTCGTTGCCAGATATCATGTGCCAAACTCTACGCATTAATTTTATAATCAGAAAACAAAAATATGTCATTTAATCGAAAAAAACATTACCGTTTTATTGTAATTACGACTATAAAGAAACAGAAAAAGAAAACATAAAGAGATACTCTGGCTCCAATCTGCTTAGAAAAAGAAAAAAGAAATGTACTTTATCCTGCTGTAAAGTGCAAGTGTTTTATCACATCTTATAGGCGAATACGTTGACAGTAGTAAAATGAAGGTAAGATGGTTGTGTATCGAAAGCCTTCCAAAACGACGTCCCTCACAAAGTTGCACTTTTACACACTATAGCCTCTGCGTTCGACGTTCTTTATGGAATTCGCCAGACATAATGCGAAGATGATGCCAATCAACTGAGAAAAATGGAAAAAGACATGTATAATATTGTAAGATATTTATATATAAAATGAGAACTAAAACTAATATTCATAATCGGTTCTTATATTTGAGATTGTCTTAAATATAATCTTAAGATGTCATAAGCCAATCAGAAGGCTGTGTATTAGCATCTTAAGACATTACTTACGATAGTCTTAAAATAAACACGAAATATGAACACCAACTAATTGTCCGACAATGTGTCAATGATTTCTCTAAACTGTTATTCGGATGTTAACTGCATTAAAGCAGGAGACATGATGGAAACGTCCTATAAAGAATGATAAATTTTTGTTCAAAATTACAGCTAAAATATTAACAAAGGGTTTTCACAACTGTTCGGAACCGATTTGATTCTCCATGAAATATGTTGTAAAACACGAAAATCTAAGAGACACGTATTTTTTTATACGTGCGCTAACTCATGTTTAAGAGGTAAAATATTCCTTTGAAAAAAAAAATGGTATTTTTCTTTCGAGGCGAATATCATCAGAAGCATAAAAAATAGAAAAAAATTTTTTAAACAAAAGTTGTACGGTTTCAAGAGTACTTTAAAGTTATAAAAAAAAATTTTTTTTGTTTAACAAAATATTCCCACACCCATAATTTTCTTAAATTTTTTATTTTTTTTACCAAATTAAAGATTATTTTTTTACGAATTCAACCATGTGTAATAAAGTTACATTACGACATATCATTTTCGAGAATTAATTATTAACGCTTCCGTATATACGCTATCCTTACTGTTTTCTCCCCTTTGTTCTTATTTTTATTTTTATTCTAATATAACTACATAACTTTATTATTTTGACTCTCATTTTATCTCTGGCTGTTGCCACCACAAAACTTTTACGTCGAGTCACGAAAAACGCTTACGGAATCGGGGGGGAGGGGGCGATTACGATAACTGTGGCCCCTCAAAATAAAAATTATTTTTAAAAGCATTTTTAGTAAGGAACACGGAAAAAATAGCAAAAAATTCTATAATCAATATTTAATTTAAGAATCATAATTCAATATTATGATCAATTTGATCATTTTAAACAATGATTGTCAACTAAAATGTTCTGGAGGTTATTCAGGACACTGACGTTGACAAGATATATTGAAACTCTCACTTCCCCTCCCTCTCCCGCTATGGGGCGCAGGATTTTCCACGCGAAGCGACTTCCACCTCCCCCCCTCCCCCTTATTACGGGATGCACGACTTTCCACGCAAGGCGACGATTTTTTTGGCTTGTCACTGTTAATTATTTTGGTATCTGTTGGAAAATTTTTTAAACTATTTTTCTCGTACACTCCTTGCTAAAAATGCTTCTAAAAATCACTTTCATTTTGAGGGGTCATAGTTATGGTAATCGTGCCGAATCAGGCCTAAGAGTGTATTCAAGAATCACTATAACCTAAATAACTCTAAGCTATAGTTTACGTTACGTATACTATAACAAAAGTGCACACCAGAGTTATCTGAATGTAATTCCCGGATTGAAAAATAGTCTGAAGAAATCATTGATATAATGATACATTGTCCGAACAATAGTTTCGTGACTGTATATGTATATACTATGTACGTGTACAGGGTGTTTCTTAAATAGCGCCCACTAATCATATAACGCTATTCCTGATCAAAAATTGAGCCATTTTTTTCCACAATATTCAATGAAACAATTATTACAGAGTAAAACTGATAAAAACTTGAGTCGAAAAGTCCTGAGCCATTTTTTTCTACAATGCTCGATGAAGTAATTATTAAGTAAAGCTAATCCAATCGACGCCGTCCTTTAAACGAGTGCACGTCAGTGAGCCACGCGCTTGATGGTGTACGAAAGCGTGCATTATCGGACGCGTGGTTCACTGATACGCGCCCGTTTAAAGGACGACGCGGAATGAATTACAGCTTTACTCGATGATAATAATAATTACTTCATCGATTCAATTTTTATCAGAAATAGGACTTTTCGATTCAATTTTTTATCAGAAATAGCGCTATATGGATATTAGTGGGCAACTATATTTAAGAAATATCCATATATGTATATTTAAATTCTTCAAATGTGTATTTTTATATTTTCAGCGCGCAAAATTATAAAACGTTGCTATGAATTACAGATTTCAAAGTAGGCTTCTTTGAGCTAACAAGGAGAGACTCACGTAAGTATTTCACGGACTTTGATCAGGTTTTGCATGGTTATTCTTGGGTATCAAAAAATAATCCCTGTAAAGCAATAAATTGCATCTCTGTGTATTTTTCGAGAAAATCGTGATTTTAGGTCACGATGACGGATCGCTTTCAAACCTGAGGGAATCCCAAAGAGGGAAAGAGGCTCGTGTTTCGAGTGCGGATCCATGGAACATCGGGCTCAAAATTGTAACCAAAAGAAGACGCAGAGATGCAATTTATTGCTTTACAGGGATTATTTTTTGGTGCCTCAGAACAATCATGCAAAAACTAATCAAAATCCGTGAAATACTTATGTGAGTATCTCCTTATAAGACAGATGCACAATTTAATTATTATTTCATCGCGCATCTCTTTTTAATATCATACATAAATGTAGTAATTTTGCAGTTTATTTAACTTTTTTTTATATATATTTAGTTTCTTACCTCTGCAGCAGCAATACCAAGAGCAACGCCACCCAGTACCGTAAGAGCAGATTTGAAGAGATCTTCTAACGCGATTACGCAACCAGTCTCGTAAGAGTGTTGTTGATCGCAGGTGTCGGGTTCCTTCTTACCGCAACAACTTCCTGGGATAGAAGTTTCATGAAGTATAAGGGGAAAATCTTGAGGACGGTCAATACCACAGCACTTCAACTGCAAATATAAATCAAAATAAGTATATCGCATGTTAAAATATTGATCTGTTTAAAATTAAAAGTCCTGGTAAAAATATTTCAATAGTTTTAATTAAATTTTAATGAAATTTTGACGAGTTTTATGTTTATTTTGGACCAGCGGTTTCATCAAAATTTTATCAAATTTTTATTGAAATTTCATCAAAATTTTATAAAAATTTCAAACTTGTAATAACATTTTATTGAAATTTTGATAAAATCACTGGTCAAAATGTTTTAAAACTTACATAAAATTCATTGCAATGTTATCAAAATTTCATCAATATTTCATAAAAATTTTAGGTTACTAAATTTTTGTACAGAGCTAAAAACTGTACTTTCAAAACGCATCTCTTATTTATATTCGTCTTTATACCTATAACACTGTGCGACAGCATTTTTCACATATGAAAAAATCAAATGTTTGTAAAAGTAGAGATAAAATCTACCAGCGTGCGTTTCGTTTGGCGATATGAAATCATTTGCGTTTTTTGTGCATAGTTTGAAGTTTATAGGAGGTCATTTCATCTGCGGTGCAAGATGAAAGGACATTAATTCAATGCGTTAAAATTGTTCGGGATGAAACAAAATCGCAACAACTAATCTGAGAAGTGTCGACGGATGAGGTCATTTAAAATATTTCTACATGAACTATAAAAATCATCCAACATAACATTCTATTTGTTATTACTTTTATAAATTATATAGGTTAAAATTGATAGTATTAAAATTAAATAATTTTTTCTGAATATCTATATAACATTTTAGGCAATTCCAACATAAGACAGAATACATATACAACATTTTATGAAATTAAAAAGCGTCTCGAAATTACTTCATTCGAACGTTTGAAAACAATAAATAATTTTTTATAGGAGTATAATTTTCTTCATTATTATAATTATAAGTTATAAAACATCTCTGTTCATACTACAAACTACATATTTTTACTTTTACAAATATGCAATAGATTTTTTATAAATTTAAATAGTTAAAGGTACAACCAGTTAAAGGAATACCATGTTCCCCTATGTACATAAAATTGACATATTTTATATATGTATAATTATATATATACATATATGTACAATATGTCTATAATATGACATTTTTTTCCGAGTACCTGCACTTTTTCATGGTAACTTCATTAAAAATTCATTTCAACAGGACGTCTCTAATTTGTCGTTACAAACTATTTGGAGTTTTTTCGTTATAGTTTTATCAAAAAGTTATTGGAATTTTAATAAAATTTATTACCTTTTCATTAAACAAAATTAATAATTTTCCATTGAAATTTCATTTTATTTTTATCGAATTCTCATTAAAATGTTATTTATTTTTCGTTAAACACAGAGAATTATTTTCTCAGTAAAGTATAATTAAAATTTTGTTATATAATTATTAAAATTTCATCAAATTTAATGAAACGTCAAGTTCATCGAAATTTCATTAAAATTTTATTACAACAATTTTACTACCAGGGAGACATTGTGTGAATTCCTCTCGAAGGTGTTTAGACGTATTGTAAATTCAATGTTATATTTAATTATTCCAGACATGTAATTATTTACAATGTTCTATTAGGATAAGACTGTGATTCACATGACAGTGCAATAGTATGTCATTGCACATGAAGACGTATTAAATGCATTCTAAAAAATAGTCTTACCTTATCCTGTATGGTATTTACAATGTCCTTTTCCTCTGTATTTGTAGGGTACTTCATGAAGAGGTTTTCCGTGTATATTTTCCTAAAGTCAATTTCACCAGAATTTTTCACTACGACGAATACGTAGATTGAGATTGCCACTTGTATGATCAGGATTGTCAGGAGCAAACATGCAAACTGCGCGGAAGAAACATATATTAATGGTCACAATTCTTAATCCTTTTCAGACGGACAAAAAAAACTGTCACATCAAATAATCTTGCTATTTAACTTGTTCGATTGTAATAATCGCAATTGTGAATGTGCAGTTTACGTGCAGGGGAAAGCATGACGCAAATAGACTTGCATATGAGGGAAAGTACAGTGGTAGAGTCCACCTGAGAAAATTTATTCACGGAAAAAATGTTATGTTATCACAACCAAAAGTAATATTTTTCACCTATTGGTTGTGTGTGTGTATATATATATATATATATATATATATATATTAAACAGAAACGAAAATACAATATTTTCAATATTTCATTATTTACGGATAATCTATGTGCATATTTAACATCTTGTCATAATCATAAGTAATTCAAGGCTTATTTGTTCTTTTGCTTCAAAAATATCGTTGAGTTGAAAATATGGACAAGAATCTTGTTTGTAAGGTCCAAGCTGGATACCAGCTATACTATTACATCTAGGCTACCCGTATAACCACGTAACACGTATATCATCTTTAACGTCTTAAAGGGAAAAAGTGCGAATAAAGCTTTGAGGCGTATCTAAGATACAACCAGTACTGCGGCAATAGGATACCTAAGCCGCATACACGTCCGGATACTACAAGTTATTTGTTTGGCATCAGCCTCGCGGAAGTCATCTTCAATTTAATAAATGCAACATTAATTTTTACTTTCAATTCCACAAACCCAACGCGGATGTTTCGAAAATTCGAATAGACTTGAATTATTGTTCAGGATTTAATTTAAAATATTTAATGTAAATACAAAACCAAGAAAAGTTTCTTGTATGACAGGAGCTGCATAACAGGAAAAAATTTGTTTATAAGCTTACCGTGACTATCATACAGTGACTCTCGCGAATCGCACCGCAGCATCCTAGGAAAGCGATGATAAAGATAATACTGCCGATGACAATCAATGTAACTGCCGGGAGCGTAAGATTACTCGTAATGTCCTCCAGATGTTCGGAATAATTTTGCTTTCCTAATTGTACTAAAACGCCGACAACCAGAATGGCCAGACCACATAGCTGCAACAAGATATTTTGAATTTGTATATATATATATATATATATATATATATAT